TTTCGACCTTGAAGGCACAGTCCACGGTGGTCACATAGGTGGAGTCAGGCCTACTCTAGTGCTCTACCAGTGTTAGTATTTCTTAAAACGGAGCGACACACCTGAGGAGAAGGCTGGGCTCAACAAATATGGATCATCGTGGATTGGTTGAATGAGGTTTTCCAATCATAAGAAAGCGTTTCAGCCTCACTTCGGTGGAATCATGACCCAAACCTGATCATGTCGAAGTCCAGCATTCTCGAACGTCTGGGTGACTGGAAACACCGAATCGATTTCCAGTTCAAGACAGATGCCCGGATTGTCAAAGCCAGGCTGAAACAATTAATGAAGCAAACGACTCTAACTAATCAATCCAGACGCATTTAGTGTGGTTTTTTCAAATTCTCAGGCTGCTCAAAAGCCTCTCTCAAAGGCGCATCCCACGGAGACGGTAGATCACGCTCTCAGGGTAGGCCCTTGCCTTCAGCATCGTTCATTCACCATCAAAAGGGCATGACTGTTGGCAGTGTCCGCCCACATGATGATCGTGGACATCACATGTTTTGAAGCTGCGACACGCTTTCGTTCATATTCTTTGCTGTTACTGTCTTACTGTTTGTTCGTTCTTTCTGATTTTTCTGCCAGCTAAACCTGAAGCTCACACAAGCAGCTATAGCAACCTAATCAAGGATAAAACTCTTGGCGCTGATCAACCCTTCTCGCAGCAAGCGCTGCTAATCGTGAGCCACATTGTCACTAATGCCTTCTGAATCATGGCACACCTGTTCAAACTGACGCATATCGAAAACCTGCCGCCCGCGATACAGCACGCGCAGCGACGCGACAAATCACGATATCTGTCCATCCCCTTTGCAACCCACCTTCCCACCCACCAACTTTTTCCTGAAAAATCGCCGTAGGGTTAGACGGAACATCCCCAAAGTGTCAGAAATAGTAGTTTTTTAATACCTTTGTCGCATCGCCCTAGGAAGGGGGAAGGGACGCAATGATAGTGCACTTGAAACGCCCGAATCAATAAGCAGAAAAATTTTCTCATAACACAGTATGCCCCCCTCCCTCCGCCTTCTCTCCCCAGCGGCCTTTTGCGATCCCCGTTGAGTTTACCACAGTAAATGACGTGTCATGCTCTGAATGCATTCGGGACCTAGATGTAAAATGATCTCTGAGGGTCAAGTGATCAACAAATCCACAACAACGCCCAGGAAGCTTCAAGGATATAAAAATATCCAAGAATCCGCACTTTGTTAATTCCCTGTTGTTCTGTCTTGAAGGCAGTTGGCGGTTTGAATAATTCTTTAGACGAGTAGGATTAATACGCCTGGAAGGACGGAATTCCGCAACCCTGGGCAGGCGCTGCGCAGCGGGTTTCCAAGGAAGGTACCCTCATAAGGTCCTATCAAGCTACAACATACCGACCAGAACGCCCACCGCGTCCGTCCGCCCACAAATGGACGACGTGCTCTGCCCGTATTTTCATTGTTGAGTAACGTACGGTATAAGCTGCAGCGCACTGATGGATAATCTAAGCACATAGGTGCAAGTAGTACTCTATCGCATCTGCTAATTTGGTCAGATCTTACTGAAACGCTACGCTTACTGGAAACTCGTCCGAAACTGCTTTTTGAATCATTAAAAAGTGAAGGATTTTCTTCGCGGGTTTTTTTTGACCCTTTCGCTTCTGTTTTTTTTTTTCTCGCCAGTTTCGCGCTATATAGGGCTCTGGCCCGTTTTGTATTCCTGTCCATCTTTTTTTCAGTTTTACTAGGAAACACTGTTCGCTTTCTGCGAAGAGGATCCTTCTCATGCGTAGGTGGGCAGGCCAAGTAGTTGTAGAACTATAATCAACGGGAATGAAGCTCATGGGCTTCAATAGGAAAGCGTTCTTGACCTACCCACCCGCCACTAGGCACGAGGGCGTATACGCTAATGGTCTACTCTCTCTCTCCTGCGCCGCCATCGTTCTCTTCAGATTGGTTGGTTGTTTTGTAGCCCAGTGAGGAGGAGAGGTGAGTGCGACCAAACCACTCAGCGAGTGTTTCCCCAACATTTCTCCATTGTCTCCATCTGTTCAGTATTCCGCATTTCACATACTGCACAATGAGGAAAGACGGAAAGTGGGCGACTGGGTCCCGCAACGGATCTCCAAGCAGGTTGGCGAAGTCGAGCTCAGGAGATCAACGGCGCCTCATACGCATGCGAGAGGGCACACACAACCAGCGCGTGCGACTATGGTTAGGCGTGAAGCTAGCCGTATGGCGTATTGCGTGTCTGAAATGATAATCACCTCTCGAATGTCGAGTGGAGACATGAAGAACATCCATATAATACGGCCCTCTGGCTTTTTCACCAGCTGTCAAAATGCCAGGTTGAACAGCCCTACATTTTCGAACCTATCCACTTCGCCATGGCTGGGAATAACATCTTTGTGTTTTCTAAATGACTGATTTGTTTTACTATTTGGGAATGTATTGCTTATTGTTTTGATTGTGAGAAATGTTCAAGCCGCTGTCATTCTGTTCGTTCTCTTCTATGTTACTGTTTTTTTTTCTTTTTTTCAATCCAGTCTCGCAGTCTGCACTGCAATTTGTGTTATTATTCAACAAAATTTTCCGAATGAAACGATTTACCGAATTTGTGGCGCACTTACATCAAACCAGAAAGTAACCGCCTCATGGAAGGGGTAATCGACGGGAGTTCGGAATGAAGATTTCAAGGCAACTGTAGCGCTACATTATTAGGTTGTCCGGAAAGTTCTCAGCGTTTTGGGTGTTTCACTTTAAACGATCGTAACTTTTTTAATACTCATCGGATTTAATCGAAATAGGCACCATTCGAATCAGCACACTTTTGCCAATGTGACAGCAGTCGAGAAATCCCATCAAAGTAAAAAACTGGGTGGTCGAGGCTTTTTTGCCTGGTCCTAATTGATGAAAGTATTTCGCAAGAAAACTAAAATATTAAAAAGGTTATAGTCGGTTGGAAGGTCTGGAGAATATGGCGGTTGAGGTAGAACTTCAACCCCAATTCGTTCAATTTATGGATAGTGATTTGTGAAACGTGCGGGCGGGCGTTGTCATGCAAAAGAATCGGACCCTTTCTTTTGATAAGGTGCATCTGACAAAATTTTCGGTACAATTCGTCGATTTCTTCACAGTAGGGTTCTGCTGTGATGGTTTGGCCTGGTGATAAAAAGTTATAGTGGATCACACCAGCCGATGACCACCAAGCCGTGACCAGAATCTTTTTTTCGTGAGGGTTCGGCTTTGAAAATTACCTCGGTGGTTCGTCGAAATCCAACCACTGTCCGGAACGTCTCCTGTTATCATACATGACCCATTTTTCATCACAGGTGACAATTCGGCCCAAAAACAGGTCGTTTCTGCTGCGCAAAAGCAATGCAGAAGGAACCTCGAGACGTGCCGATTCCTGCCGGTCACTCCGATTGTGGGGCACCCAATTGTCGAGTTTTTTCACCTTCCCAATGCGTTCCAGACCATCTGCAACAGTGGATTTGCCAAGGCCTAGCTCTTCTGCTATCTCTCGAACTGTTTGGGATGGGTCAGCCTCCAAAATCCCCCTAAAATCCTCGTCAGATATTGCTTTAGGTCGACCGCTATGAGGGCACTATTGGGCCCCCACACCTGGTTAATTTGTTGAGCTGTTTCGATTGCGGATTGCCCCAATTTATAGTCGAAGAAAAAAATCGTCCGAAGTGCTCTTTTCACATGCTTGAAAAAATCTTGAAAAAAGGGGGTTTATCAAGCAATGGTGAAACGGCAATTATACCATCAGATAGCGCAAGAAATTCTCTACAGGATGTGCTACTGAGAAGCAAGGCAGAATGAGTTTTTAATCAGCAGTGAATGTACAAAAAATAGGTGCACAAAACGCTGAGAACTTTCCGGACAACCTAATAGGTTACGGAATGGGTAAGGTGACAGACTGGACGGGCGTAGGAGAAAGCTTTTTCGACAAAAAGTCTCAGTAGTCTGAGAGCGATGTTACCCGTGTGGGTAACACACAGAGTTTAGCGCACTTGGTCGGCGTCGAATTGTCACTTGTGTGCGATTTACTAGCCAGCGAATCTTTTCCAGCTGAATGGTTCTGCACAAGGCAGCGTTCAGACTTCGCAAGTGACGCGCATCGATCTGCTGTAGCGCGCTGTAAGGCGCGTCGACGCGCTACGATCGCAACAGCGACCAAGGCTTCAATGCTGTCTATGCGAACGGACCGGCAGACAGCCGACGTCGATCGATTCCCGTCCGGGAATGCAGCCACACGTGGGGACCGATCGGCGATAGAGGAGCGACGGCGACGAGAGCTGTTTCAAGAGAGCGTGAGGGAATAGGGTGGACACGTTGCCTAGTCGTCAAGACTGATATCGATGAAATCGATCGTACTGACCGTCCGCGGCTGCGTTCGCGTCTATCCTTTGCAGAGCTCTTGCGTGTAGCGCGTCGACGCGCGTTGCAGGGCGTTACAGCACGTCGACGCGCATCATCGCGAGGTCTGACCATTACTGCTGCCTCAACTCAGCATGTACCACTACCGCGCTAATGCCACGCACAATATGTCACTTGCAACACCCATTTCATCCCGTCCCTGCAAGGTGATGTCCCAACTGCCTTCCATGCCGAAGGTTTGTCTTTCTCCCATATAAGGGCTATAAACATGGAAAATCCAACATCCAAGCTTTACATCTTCCACAATTTCATACGGTGCTCAATAATGTTTTCCAGTGCGGTTTTTTCCTTCAAGCAACTGGAACAAGCGTGGAGTACGAGCGTGAACCATGGGTGACCCGATGATGGTAGAAGTCGTGACCATTGCGAGTTCCTGAGAATTCGTACGTCCGATCTCTGGAACGTTTCGGATGAGGAGGGAGTTATCAACTGATAATACCGATAGACTTACCTCCTGCTCAACACCTTCTCGGCCGGACATATGTCCACCTTCTTCGTGGTGAAATCCGTTCTTTGTGTGGTGTTTCCGGCAAATGCATCGCTCGATAGATAGTTTGTCTCTTTGGGACGCACAGAGCGCTGGCGAGGTGCTGAAAAGGCAGGCCATATTATTGAAGGATTCTTTTTAGGCTGCGTTCCTACTATGGCAGCATCCGCTAGCTAATCATCCGCGAGTTTCAGCGAATAGGAAAATGTTTTCCTATTCATCTATACTATATGAATAGAAAAACATAGAAATCGATCTAGCGCTGCAAGCGTCCACCAGCGTCTGCAGCGTTTCGAGGGCTACTAAGCATAGGTACTGATCTAGCGTCTGCCAGCGCTGCATCTATCAACGTACACTAGTTCAGCGCGTACAAGCGCATTTACAACTACATTGCACCGTACGGTAAGGCACAATTCTGTGCTTCAGTAGCTGTGAGCTGTTGCGGTTGCGTACGCCGCGGTTACACGGCGCCTAGTCCAGCTTTTACTTCCTCCTCCTTTCCCATACTCTCTACTCCCGGACGCTTGAAACGCTAGTGGACGCTGGTAGAGGCTAGCGGACGCCGCTGCAAACCGTGAACGCAGCCGTAGCAGCATGAGCCGAACTTTCTTCCTGTTATCTCCTTTTCGGAAATCTGCACGAGCTGCAAGGGTAAGGTAAGCAGTAAGGCTTCCGCACAGCACGCTTAGAAATGAGTCGCTCCGTAGCCTCCTTGTCTCAAATTTCTACATGGTCTGGACGATTTGCGTCATTACTCACCTTCTTTAGGAACGTAACCATCCTGGTAGGTGGAATGTCCATCAAATGGTCGCCCACGTTCAATTTCGTTACTCTTAGGCCTTACTGGTATTGACCTGGAATGCTTGGCACTTGAAATCCCGAAATGATCGGAAATGGAAAATAAAAAAGTACAAGATATTATGAAAAATTAGGGATGAAACTGAAGCTCTAGCTCAAGCTTAAAACATAGGCCGTTCCTGAACTACAAGCAACAGAAGCCATGTAGATGTGAGTCAGGAGTTCCGCGTTGCGGCGGTGCGACAAAGGTGGCGTTGCAAGGATCCATTGATTGGGCATCAGAACCCAACAATAAGTGTCAGGCAAAAGTGCTACTGCAAACCAGTTCAGCAGTTGCCACGTATGCGTACCCCTTTTTCCGCGAGTCCGCCGCAACACGGATCTCCTAACCCACATCCCACATTGCTCTTTACTCATTTTCAACGTAATGAACTTCTCAAAAAGTTTCCCGTGTAACTCACTTCTCTCCCCGTCGTCCCTGGTAGTCAGCCTGTGTGATGGTAAGTGCATCCATAGGACCATCCAAAAGCAGATTCGAGGACGATGGACGTATGGGCGAACTGCGCCTAGCCTGCAAAGCTCTGAGATACTTTTTTTTCAATGGCACATCACTGGTAATTACCATTTTCTGATCGTAATCGGCTCGATTTGTGGTTACTCCAGAGAAATCACCGCTAGGTAAAGATGTCACTGCTGGACGATAGGCACGGCTTTTTTCACCCTGAAGGGATAACATTACTGTAAATAATGCATTTGTTAGGTACAGCACCTCCCAAACACCTGACTGAAAATGATTTCATTGATGTTACTGCGCAAACTTGGTTTTCAGTGGATAACCTTAATGCTCAGGATCAAAGCCGACCGGGGACAGACAACACTTCTGTGCCTGTTGAAAAAGCTAATTGGGATGAATCGGGCCTTT